CCTCTCGTGTTTCAGTTTGCATCCATTGCCCCTAGTCCTGTCGCTGGACACCACTGCAAACAGACTGCTTCCGTCCTCTTGACTTCCGCCCTTAAGATATTTGTGTTGATGAGGTCCCCTCTCAGTCTTCTCTTCTTCAGGCTGAACAAGCCCAACTCTCTCAGCCTTTCCTCGTAGGGGAGATGCTCCAGTCCCTTTATCATCCTAGTAGCTCTCCTCTGGACTCTTTCTAGGAGTTCCTCGTCTTTCTTGAACTGGGGAGGATCCAGGTGAAAAATAAAGTTTTGAGGGTGATGACTTCCTTGTGTCATCGTTCAGCTGAGGATCCCCAAAGCATCTGCCTGTCCCCGTAGCGTTGGGTGACACCCACGCACGCTGATGCCCCTTGAAATGCTTGCAGAGCACGATCGTGCGGCCTTTCGGCTGCTGCTGAGTCAAGCCCTACGGATTTAGCCCTTTTAATCTTTCCCCTTACGTCAGCCCTTCCAGCCCCCTGGGCTGCCGCCAGCTGCTCCCCTCTGCCGTCACCTCCCGTTTGTCAGGACCGGTGGCGACGGAGGAAGCGAGAAATAAATCAGCAAATACTCCCTCGTCATCGTTTGCGGGGCTCCGGGGGCAGCCAGGGCCCGGCTCTGCTGTGCTTGGGTTCTGCACCCCCACCCCCGCGACACCCCAGCCCTGCGCCGCCTCTTCCAGGCAGGGGAGGACTGCGTCCCCTCACCTTTGGGGACACAAAATGGTGATGGGCTTCCAGCAGCTGAGGAATGGATGGAAAAGTTGCATTTTTTTCAGCCCAGGTTGAGTTTTGCTGCTCTCCCATCCCGGCCAGGGCTCGGCATGGAGCAAGGATGCCGGGGTCCAAACTCCCACGACAGCCGAGCGGGGAGAATCATAGAATCATTTAGGTTGGAAAAGACCTTTAAGATCATCAAGTCCAACCGTTCCCCTAACCCTGCCATCCCAAAGAGAACAGTGAGGGGCTTCCTCTCCTTTCCCCACTATATTCAATCCCCTTTTGCCAAAACCTGCCCAGCATCTCCTCGGGGGGGCTGGAAAGGGTTGTTGGTGCTGTGGGGCTTGATCCCACCCTCCCGTGGCCAGTGCTAACTGGTGCAAGCTGTGGGCAAAGCTCTGCAGCTGGAAGCGAGATGCCGGAATCTTGCTGGAAAGAAAGCATGAATCAATGAGCTCTCCCAGGGATATTTAGGATTTTCCCCGCCAAAGCATCCTCAGGGAAAGCAAAGCCATAATTCAGCCTTCGTGCAGCGGCCGACAGCCCTGGGGGTTGCGAGACGCAGCGGCAAATGTGAGCTCCAAGGTGGTTTTTTTGCAAGCTGAGCACCCCAAGCCTGCTTCAGCCTGGGGTAACAGCCACCAGCGCTGCTCAGGGAGCGGAGGAGAAAGCGCTGAGCCCTCAGCTGGGCTCCAAATGCCCGGGCGGAGCGATTGCACCTGAGCTGGCTGCTGCTTCGTTAGCTTAAATGGCAAACGAGCAGGGCTGGGCTGGGCCTGGGTGGGTGTGATGGGGCAGGGCACCTGTGCAGCCGGTTCCCAGTAAGTGACTTAACCAGCTTAAATGGGGAGAGACGGGTAGGGTGCTGGCCTCCGCCCTATGGCTCCTGCCCTGGGAACCTGGGCTCAGACCCACGCTGTGAGCCAGGGGGTGTTCGCTCTCGCTGTCACCTAAAGGTAATAGTTGGTGTTTCCCCTTGCTTGGCAGCTCTTCCCATTTTGACATTAAATTGGAGCAAAAAATGCATGTCACTCTGTCTGATTCCCCTCTCCCCTTGCAAAGTGGAGTGGATGCGGATGGTGGGCTTGGTGCCGGCTTTAAAGCGGAGTTAATTCAGGCAGGAGCCTTGGAAAAAAAACCATCGGTGTGAGCAGTACGGCAGGGCAGATCTCCAAATCCCGGGGCCAAAGAGCCTCTGCTGGGGGGGTTGCAGGTTTGTTCTGTCTTTGGTAGGACGTTAAAATCTGCAGCTTATGCACAGTCTTGTAGTTTGGGGTATTTGGGCTCTTAAAATAAGATTTGCTGGTTTTCTGATGCTTTTCCCCCTGCCCCAAATACCTCCCAGCCCTGGCCAGCCCATTACAAACAGGGGAAGGATGGGGACATCTCTTCCCCATGGCACCAGCGATGCCTTGCTTTGGGATCCGGGAGGTTTGGGGGACGGTGACCCTCCGGATGGGCCCTGCCTGCACCCCGCTTGCAGCGCAGCAAACAGGAAACGTGTGAGCACCGGCAGTTGAGTGTAACCCCGCAGCGGAAAGCTGCCTTGAGTAAGAGAGAAAATGAGAGCTCGCGCGCGGGGCAGGTCAAACGCCCCCGGCGCAGGACCAGCATCCCTCCCGGCCCGGGGAGCCTCGCTGCTCCCCCGTGCACCCTGAAACTGAGGGTCCCTCTTGGTTAGCGGGAAAGGTAAGCTTGGCTGCTCTGGGCTTAGCCCATGCATCACCTTAAAAAATAGAAAAGCAGGGAAAATACGGGGGGTTTAGGAAAAAAAAAAAGGAGGTTTTAGGAAAATAAGGTCTTTTTCTTGCTGTTGGTGAGCTGGGGGGCTTTTTCTTGCCACTTGTTGGGGGGCTATGGCTGGGTGGGGCCTTTGCTGATGGCTGGGAGTGGCGTGGGGTGGCTTGGAGGGGAGGTAGGTGGCTGGGAGTTGGTGATGCTGGTGGGGGCCATGCTCAGCCGGGCTGGGGGGTGTGTGGTTCCCATCCCAGCCCCCCTGCTTGTTCTGTGCCTCTGTTGTGCGATGGGCTCAGCTCACCCCCCAGGACTGGGGCAGGTACCTGGGGGCTTTCCCATGCCTTAAACAACCCCACCTGCCCCCCCGAGCTCCCACTTCTGCTGTTTTAGAGGCTGGGACCTGGTTTCTGTCCCCCCCGGTGTCCTGTGGGACTTCAGCAACTCCACAAGACCCTCTTACTTTAAGGGGAAGTTTTGGGGGCCTATTCCCATGTCTCCACCCTGGGATTTAGCAGAATCGCTGTTTCACATTGCAAAAGGAAAAGGGCAGAGGGCTGGAGCCACTGGGGGTCCCCAGGCTGGGAGCGGAAAGCCGGGCTGAAGCCAGCTCGAGCATGGCCCCAGCTCTGCGTCACTGCTGTCCGTGGCTGTGGTAAGGGGAAGTTTTGGGGGCCTATTCCCATGTCTCCACCCTGGGATTTAGCAGAATCGCTGTTTCACATTGCAAAAGGAAAAGGGCAGAGGGCTTGGAGCCACTGGGGGTCCCCAGGCTGGGAGCGGAAAGCCGGGCTGAAGCCAGCTCGAGCATGGCCCCAGCTCTGCGTCACCACTCTCCGTGGCTGTGGTTTCCTTCACTCGGTTTTTTGGCTTTGCTGTGCAGAGAAGAACCCCTCACAGGGATGGCACGGTGGCTGTTGGTGACACTGGCACCCACCCAGGATGGGGAGAGGGGAGTGGGGGGGTCCCTGAGCTCAGACTCCACACGCCGGGGTGAGCACGCAGGCATGATGAACCCCCCCCCGAGGACTCGCACAGCTCTCCCCGGCAGTGACTCATGGCTGTGAAAGCTGGGGGAGGAATTTTAAAAGCTGCTGCTGAGCTCTGAGAAAGCAGGTGGAACCACCGCGTTCTGCCCAGAGCTCCAGCATCGCCTTGGCTGGTCCTTTGCCGGTGTCACCTCCTGGCTGTGTCACCTCCCGGGGTGCCGGTGCTCTGTGCATCCTCCACAGCCAGGGTGGAGCATGGGGAGGTTTGGGATGGGCGCTTTTCCAGTGGCAGGGGGAGACGCGGGGCCGGGGGGGGGCGGGGGGCGCGG